AGATGCCATCAGATAGGTAGAGAATGATCCTTACTGCCTCCGCCTTAGTGACAACATCTTGCCAAAATCGATCTCGGGATTCTCGATTTCTTCCCTCCATCTTCTCATTCCACGCCCTTAGCTTTGGCACATACCCTGCCTCTGGAAGAAGGTTCTTGAGGCATGTCAAGGCATGCTCGAGTGCTTCCGATATGAATACTGCTGCTCTCCAGTGCGCCCTGACTGACTGTTGGGTGTCCTCACTATCCCCTTTCAACGTCTCGAAGTACTTCAATACAGCGGCGTCCGTCAATGGCCATCCCGGTGCGTCCAATTCTCGCATATTGATCGGTATACAGAACACCGGTTCATCCTCCGGGGTGGGGGGAATGCAGTCCCGTCGACCGTAGCCAACCTGTTCAGGAGCTTAGTGACAGCCATACAAAGCAACATCCAGATACCTCTTTCATCAGCCGGGACTTGCCCTGTCCAGAGGACGCGATGATGTTCAGACACCGCGAATAGGAAGTCCGGCGATCACGGACAACGTCCTCCATAATGCCGTGGGCTCGGAATTTCAGATGCTGAATGAAAGCTTTCCTGATCTCATCGTTCTGGAATGAGGTTTCAAATGCATTTGCAAGCTCTATAGTTTTCGATCAGTTCCGTGTCCATCAACTTTCAAGTCTAGCACCATACCAGTTTTAATCTCTGGGCTATACAGCGGTCAGAACGAGAATGTTTGGTTTTGAGAGTACTCACGTCATGGACTCCCTGTTTTTAGACCATCAGAACACACAGGCAGCTCGGGGAGCCGACAAAGGACTTACCGTGCCCTTCTCAGGCGCGTCTCATCTTTACAAAACTCTGCGACAATGAAGGCTTCCCCAACGGTGGTTACTGACGGTGAAATATACTGGATGGAGATTGAACTCACGGTGTTGAATCGCTGCGATGACATCATCGGCCTTAGGTTCTGCTTTCGATTGGAAGAATGTCTTCAGCATGAATTCTTTCCATTCTTCCCCAGCAGCACTTGCGTCAATGGATTCCAGCGGTGGTCTCATGTCCCCCCGAGACTTAAGGAAGGTGGAAGAAAATCGGGCCTTAAACGTCTTGGCAGATACCTCTAGTTGGTCGTAGATACCGTAGTAGGATGAAGTCAGGAACTTGATTGATGAGGGCATTGACCTGTATACTTGGAAATCGCCGGACAACGTGACAACGACCTCCTTGCGTATGTCTTCATTGGTCAAGAACTCGTTCAGACGTGAAGACATGGTGGATCAGTCTGAGGAATGGATTCAGATTCGGACGGAACGTTATGTATATCTGACACCACTTTCATATGTTTCCGTCTTCTTCCGTGAAGACCATGAGGAGGGCACGTGTTGAAGTTATTAATAATTCAGTCACCACCCAGACGCTGCACGACAACCTCCTTCCTTTGACGCCCTCTAATACGCGTTAAACAAAGTATCTCCGATGTACTGTCTGTACTTCTAGACACCCGGATGAGGTGGAAGTGCGCAGAATCTGGCGCATTCGGCGTTCAATACAGAGAGCATATGTATTTATATTTGCTGACACAGTGAAGTATCTAGCGCATACCCGCTCCTGTCGTCCTCCCTCCACACGGGCAGCACTGGTACGTCTTCAGTCAATCAGAGAGAGACGGACATCTACGGAATACGATCGCCCCAGGGATGACAGCCGTCCTCTCCAACTGCGGTTGCAAGGTCAGCAGGATCCGGCGGACATTTCGTGTCATCCCAGCCCCAACCTCGAATGCTAAAGCCGTTTATAGTGTGCAAACGGGCTTGGAAACGGCAAAGTATGAATGCGTCGAGCTCGACATTGATACCTGAGAGGACGACTGTGTTAGAAACTAATTAGGCGTGCCTGGTTATTCGCACACTTTGTCCTGTCCTGAGGGGCTACTTGACGGCGGACCGTCCCTGTGCGACACCAACTGCCTTACTCCTCAACATTAACATTGACCTACGTCTATCCCATCCAAGTCCGTCAACTGCGCTCATACGCATTCCAGTTGGAGTGGTGCAGAGGCTGTGACACGGTCAATTCTGAATTAGTGGTGGTAAGATACAAATGTGCTATCATACAGTCGTTATCATACAGTCGTAACATACAAAGTCATAATACTAGCAGACGTACCTCTTCTCATGCGGATTATCTTCCTCCTCTCTATGGACATGCCTCGACCGATCCCATTTCGATACTCATCGAACATCTTGTCCCACACCTGCACTGTGCGCCGTCATCTGCACGACGTCTTCGTACCCGACTTTCTTCACGATCCTCCCATACGCGCCCGAATTTGCTTGCTTCTCAAAAGTGGCTTAGAGCTACTAGATCCGTCTTGATCTTCCCGACAACCTGCTTGGGAGCGTCATACTGTTTGTATGCTTGCCGCTCCACGTACTCCCAGGCCACACTCCCCAGCACCGAACCCATCGACAACTTGATGGAACCCGACCTCTGATTCACGCACCAGCGCCTGTGCTTCTTTTCCCTGCCTCATTCGTGAGCGGGAGTATACTGTCGTCCTGTTCCATCCCGATGATGGGAGTGTGGAGAGCTGGACTGCAGAAGGACGCACGGATAAGAAACGGGCGAGCTTCGAAGGTTGGGAGCCGAGGTGAGCTTGTGCACTTCCGCATGTACCATGCAGAACGCTCAGAGGTGAGGATCCAGAAAGTTGCTCAGATTTGTCCATTCGATGCTCAAATGGAAACCGATGAATAGCAGCCCGCTCGAGACGTGGATCCACAAGAGCGGCAAAGTAGTGCTCTCGGGTGACTCTTGTCCTTCCATGCCTGTGCGTTGTCCTCCAACCAAGGTCATCCCGATGCTGATACTGTCCCGCAGTCATGCCGCGCACAAGGCGCTGTCATGGCTGTAGAAGACGCGGGTGTCGTAGACAGCCTCTCAACCACTCTCTCTTCCTCCTCCACATGGCGTTCTTTTTACACGTATATGCGGAGTGCGCAGCTACCCAACTCAAGCACGTCTGAACCAAAAGATCTCCCACGTCCCCCGCGGTGAAGCGCATGAGACGAAAGACGCGGATATGCACCCGGCGATGGAGGCGGAGATGAGCGGGGATGTATTGGAGGCTGAGGGGAGCCAGAATGAGTGGGCGGATAGGAAGGCATGCAGGGTGCAGTTTGGGCATGATGCCAAGTGGATGTGGAGAGACGACGACTGAGGAGGAAGGAGATTGGATCTTTGGAGGAGCCGAAGCAGAAGGGGGGGGGACGACAAACAGCCCGCGGTCGCGGGAGAAGGTACAAGGAAAAACACCAGCCGGGGCTGGAGATCAACAAGCACGAATAAAACACGAACAGTCGTAGAAGCTGGAAAGGGAAGTGAGGAGTCGTCGTTTGTTCTAGAGCAAGAGGAGGTGGTGGTATCGTGCAGCGAAACGCAGCCGGCCAGAAACGAGAAGTGGAAGGTGCAGAATGTGCGCAGCCGAGTCACCTACGTGAGTAGCTAACAGATCCGGCGATCCCCGCGAGAAACCGTCCACCTCTGACACGACGCGGTCCCGCTAGCTTTCCTTCATCAGCACTAAGATCAGCGTCGATATCCCGTGCGCAGAGACAACGGTGTGGGGAGGAAGAAGCGTAGGATACTCAGGAACGTGAGAGGGAAAGAGAGACGATGCATTGGTGCTGTACCGAGTGAATGGATGGATGACGTCCCACTAGAGCAAATACATGTTGTGGTGTACTAGTGACATTGCAGACTGAACAGTAAAGTTCATCCACTGGATGGCAACTGGAAAAGACGTTTGATTACTGTTGCCGCGCTCTGGCAATTTTGCTTCTGATATTGTCAATCGTCTCGGTGCACTCAGTCGCCGCTCTATGGGCTCCAACCGCTCCGAAGTCCGTTCTTGCACCTGTCAGACAGGCGATCGCATCCGCATACTTGCCTTGTTGGTGAAGAACGAATCCTATGTTGTATGCACAGTGAGCGATGCCAACGCGGTCCCCAATCGTTCGAAATCCCGCCCTTGCCTCCTCCAGAAGCCCGGTCGCCTCCTCATACTCCCCTTGCCAAAAAAAGATCTCCCCGATACTTCGTGTACACTGAGCGACGCCACGGCGGTCCCCAATCGTTCGAAATTGTGTCCTCGCCTCCTCCAAAAGCCCAGTCCCTTTTTCATACTTCCCCGGCATGCGGAACAGATCGCCAATACTTCGTGTACACTGAGCGATGTCAAGGTGGGACCCGATCGTTTGAAATTCCGCCCTCGCCTCCTCCAGAAGCTCAGTCGCCTCTTCATACTTCGCTTGCATACGGAAGATGTTGCCGATACTTTCAGTACACTGAGCGATGCTAAGGCGGTCCCCAATCATTCGAAATTCCGTCCTTGCCTCCTCCAGAAGTCCAATCGTCTCCTCATACTTCGTCTGCATACGGAAGATCTCGCCAATCCTTTGACTACACTAAGCCATGCCGCGACGGTGTCCGCAGAGCTGATATTTTTCTCTCGCACAAATGTGTTTCTTCACAGCCTCTTCAGGTTCCATCTGGTTGCTCAGAATTTCCCCGATTAAACTTAGACACATCCCCGCGTTTCCCTGGTCACCTTCCCTCTCCAGCTGTGTGCAGGCATATTCCAACAGCTCCGCGCAATCTCCTATGAACGCAAATTGCGAGAAATCGCCCAGCCGCTGAGTGGCACGCGTCAATGATTCCTTCGAAACATCGAGCATCCATTGTTGGTAACGTTCCCCCCAGAAATTCCAGAGGATGGAGGTGATGTTGCTGAACTCGGTTAACAGATGTGCTGTCACTTCACGACCCTTTTCTGTGCCGATATCCTCTACCTCGTCCGTCATTCGCATGAAATAGCCCCGTCCTTCCGCCAGAGGCCCCGGTCGTAGTGGGTGGTATCGCATCACGAACTCTCGAATGGGAGCCAAGCACCGGATCCGATCCTTCTCACGTATCGCCAGCCCGGTCTTCACCAGCACCAGTGCATTTGCTCTTGGTGCGTCCATTGATGGAACCACATCGCCTATAGAAGAAAGCAGCAGTCCAGTAGGCAAGAGCGAAAGCATCGACAGCACATCCATTGCTTGAGGATTTCTAGCCATGGTGCGAGAATTGAGGGACAACCGAATTGATACGTCCAGGCTCTTCAATCGCGTGTCACCATCAATCCCTAACAGTGATGTCTTCTCCGCATTGTACATCTCGATCAGTTCCGATGGAGTGGCGGCATGATCCAGCGTCGCCATCAATTTGATCGCCAGCGGTAATCCATCCAGCATCGCGAGGCGCGCATCGAGCTTCTTATCTTCGCTCGACGTCAAATCCATCCACGTCTCTCTTGACGCTGACAATGAGAGCGGCGAGAGAGGATCGCGGCAGATGCTCGTCCATCGCACAGTAGTAGGCGGCGTAGATCCTCGCATGGTGATCAAGAGCGAAACGTGAGAAATTTGCGCAATCACTCCAAGCCAGTTCTCCACATTCGCACTATCAGAGTTTAATACTGTCTCGAGGTTGTCGAGGGTGAGAAGCGCACATGGGAGCGATGCGAGATAGGCCGGCACAGACACGCGCGGATTCTGATCGTGCTGCAGGCGAGATATCGAGGCAAGCATGCTGGCGATTCCATCACACGTGGTCACTCCCTCCGACTCATAAATATCCGGTTCCCATCGTACTTGGCCACAATTCGTTCGTCGTTGATCACAGCAGCGGCGACAGAGGTCTTTCCGATGCCTCCCGGTCCGAGTATAGGTATATGGCAGTTGTCTATCTCACAGAGCCGGCGCACAATCGATTCGACCAGTTCGTCTCGACCATGAAACACCGCAGGATTTGCTGGCATCTCCATCAGTGGCAGGCCCGCAGGTTTAAATTTTGTGATTTAGGCCGGAGCATGCCGGGAAGAACCATGTGTGACTTACACCTCAAACGCAGTAAACCCGTTGCCCTGCTGCCTATCAGTCTTGTTACTGATGACAAATGAAGCACACCCACCCGTCCCTCCAATAACCCCAAACGTGAATCATGATCATCCAGTCGTACATTGGTTTGGACAACAGTCTTGAGCTGATGGGACGTCAGGAATAGATCCAAAGGATCGGGATCATCACACACCCAAAACTTGATTATAATTGAATTCAGATGTTCATCAAGAGCTCGGATGTGCTCTTCAGTCAACCCCCGATATCTTGTCTCCGCATCATCATACTTGTGCACCAGTCTGTTGAGGTCGTTCAGTGATCTGGACAAGGTCAATTCAGAGCCAAATTTCCAAGTCGAGTGGTACTCACTGTGAAAGCTGATTGAAGAGCTCAGTCGCAGCCGTATCCGCAGAATCTGGGCGTGACATTCGTTGGAGAACTTGCTCATTGGCAAATGCGGTTTTCTCCGCGAGCTCGCGACAACGTTTGTCTTGGCTTGCTAGCACCTGAGAAAGGAATCAGAATAATGACAGAGCAATCCGAAGACATTACGTACGCTTGCAACACCTGTTGCTCTTATGGTCATGTCTTCAAGCCACACCCTGACCGCTTCGGAACTTGATGAGATTCTCAATTTCATCTGGGAAAACTGTCGGCGCAATGAGGCAACCGCAGAGCCGGACGGTGTCTCGTTCATGGCAGACAAGGGTGCGCGTATGAAACAGTAGACACGGGAAATCCAATTGGTGAATGATGTAACAACGCGTGTTATGAGGGCAACCTGTAACAGCCGAGGGCGAGTAACTCGACGAGGATCGTGAGGTTCAAAGGAGAGGGCATTCACAGGGTGAGATATAGGGGAAGAGGAGAGGACAGCTTCCTTGGAGTCTGGCCGCTCAACCGAATATCTGCTGTCTGATTGATGTCAAAGTTCTGTGCTACCAGGAAAGCGAGGCTCTAGTTGTTGAAGAAGGAACGCGAGTACCACGTGTCACCCAGACTATGCACCGATATCCGGGTCGGGATTAGCGCCAAGATCAACAAAGGGACCGATAACGGCCACAAATCCTGAAGCCCATCGTGAGGCAGTTGGACAGAATACAGAATATTGATCGAGTCCATCAGTGGCGAATACATTACATTGTGGTGCGACAAGGAGAATGCCAAAATGCCCAGGATCAACTGGATATCTGATGTCGGATTGACGCCCAGATAAGGCCACGTTCGGTCAGGAGGTCATCTTGCTGGGCTGCTCTGAGGCCAAGGTGAAAAGAACGCACATGAAGAAGATAGATAGACGCATCTAAGTATGTTCGACTCCATCCATTCCGAGAGAATTAGAAGCATAAGATGCAAGTAAAGTGTTCAGCACAGCTTCCACATATTGAATTTAATGCTTCCAGCGGCTGTGCTAAAGTTAACGGAGAACAGTCACTGCAAAAAAACGGGTCCTTTAATAAGGGCAGTGTGAGTAGCGGAGGTCATGTGTGCCAGCCTATGCAACCTTTGAGTGAAGGTTATCAATGCTTGAGCTGAAGATTGCTAGCCCAAGTTCACCTTGATTAGTCTTGATATTACCTAGGATAGATCACATCATATAGATTGAATGATTTTTTTTTCACACAAATTATCCATTAGTGAAATGCAACCACATGAGTTATGTGGTTGCTTGTCTCCATAGCCTTGAATGCAATGCAAATTACTTTACCCATTCTTCTAGCTACATCCAACAAACTGAACACAAGGTATCCTCTACAGAGAGCTCTCTTCCCTATCAGCAGGGGAGGAAGTGGAGAGCAAGCATGGCTATATAATATTAATCAATATTAATGTAGTGAGCATAGGTACTAAGTTAATCACTTTGAAGACTCACTGAGAGGAGGGACCATGGCCAGAGCTTTCAGCCCATACTTCTTGACCACCTTCTTCACCTTTGGCCAGTCCTTGCCCATCCACTTCCCAACACCCTTTGCCACCTTGCCTGCCTTCTTCCTGTCAGGGCACCAGCTCATTGCTTGGTCAAGAGACATGACTAAGCCTTTATGACAT